AGGACTGAGCAAAAATTTTAAATGCCATGAAAGAGATACTCTAAATTTAGTTGATTATTTCTTAGGTGGAAGTGCTTAGTTATCATTATTACTAATCAGTGTACCCAGGCTGCAAAGGCCTGATGACTTTAAATGACTTTTCATCTTGTCTCTGAAATCCTCTGTTTTACAAGGGATCACATTTCCTGTGAGGTTCCTAACAGTGTGATTAAATTTTAGAGACCGAAACTATTGAGCACTTAAATGTAGGAATGACTATGCAAACCTAATTCATGGGTTTCACCAGGAGATTTGGGACATGTCTCTACTAATTTATGATGATGATGTTGAAACTAATCTTTGTTAGGGATTATGGAAGCCATAATAGTTTATTGATGGTTCAGTTATTGTTTGTTGAAGCAGATTTACACAATTATAGTTTAATGACTTAACAAGGATATTGTCAACTAGGAGAGCATGACATGAAAAATTAAACTTCCAATTAATATAATGTGTATTAGTTGAAATGATAATTTTCATGGTGATTTAGCCTCTTAGAAATCCTTGGAAAACATTATTAGCTTATGAATTGAAAACTCCCTAAGTTAATGAGTAGTGGGAAAGAACTTAGTATTACACTAAAAAGATGGGGAATTAAATATTCGATCCAATGAACATTTATTAAGTGGCTACTTTGGGCTTGCTGCTGAATTAGACTCATAAATATAAGTTGAACAAGATTGATGTTTGGAGAAATGAAATACTATTTGCTTTTATTTCTTCTTTCAATCACCTTCCTCCCAACCTACAGTGGATGAATACTATTGCCAGAGTGATTCAGTCAACAGATTTGTGTACATGCACGTCAATATGTATTATTGTGTCCCTTGCTCCTGTAGTGGTTTCCTACTTCTTCACTTGTCACATTCACATACCATAGCCTGTCCTTAGTCATAACCACTTTTATTTCAACATGTACCTGTCTAGGCAATAGGCACATGGACTTGGTGTCCCTTTTGTATGACAGTTTATTTGTAGCTTCTGTGCCTTTCTCCTTGGTTCCTTTCATTAATTTTTTTTGAGAGTTTTAAAAAAATATGGAATGTGTCATCCTTGTACAGGGGCCATGCTAATCTTCTCTGTATCGTTCCACTTTTAGTATATGTGCTGCTGAAGTGAGCACCCCTTCATTCATTATTGATGAATTCATTTGACAAGTAGACATTGAACCCCCCTCTTAGTATTGAGTTCTGGTAAATTTGGGGGCATACAATGATGAATCAATCATGAATCCTGTTATTAACTATTTTTAGTCTAGTAAGGGAGAGGAGGTCAGTACCCAAGCAGGCATAATACAAAATGGAACGTTGATGTTAAAAAAAGTAAATAGTAAGAGAAGAAAATAGTGAGGAAACTAAATGTTTCCTGTAAGTCTTCTGAAAAGGTGCGTATTACACTGGACCATGAAGGATATGATTTTGAGTGGAGAAATTGAACAGTTATCCAAGTTCTGCATTATTTTTCACGGTTCAGTTTAAGTCCTATCTATCGAAGGGGTGTTCTTGGTGTGAATTTGTGTGTATTGGACAGGGACTTGAACTCAGGGCATTCTACCACTGAGCTACATTCTTGGCCCTTTTTAAAAAATTTGAGACAGTCTTGCTAAGTTGCCTAGCAATCCTCCTTCAGCCTCCCAAATCGCTGAGTTTACAGGTACATATTACCATGCCCAGCCATCCAAGGGATGTTCCTATACCCATCCATATTCCATATGGTTTCAGCAAGGAATAGTCCTAGTTGTGCTAGACTTCTTCATTCTGTAATTAGAGGAATCGTGATTATAGAATAAGGAAGTCTAATATACAAAATTGTTAAAATGGAGCTGCTTTGTTGGGGGTAGGGGGTTATGGTGGCCCTAGCCTTGAATCCACAAGGAGTTATCTGCAGGTGACTGCCTCACAAGGAACAAAAAGAGCTTAGTTTGAAAACCATTGGAGAGACAAAGGAAAGAGTTGGCAACATAGATCACATTTCAAAAGAACATCAACATAAAACCAAAACATAAGTCTTTCACACTTTGGTGGCTCCATTTTCTTTTGTAAATTGGGGGAAAATGATGCTACCTTCAAGGGTTGCTGCTAACCTAAGAAGGTATTAGAAAGTAATTGGAATTGTTTTATAGTTTAATGCTGTTTTTTTTTAAACAACAAAATTTATTGAGGTGAAATTTACATAACATAAAATGAACCACTCTAAAATGAACAGTGACAGTACATTCACAGTATTGTTTAACTACTACCGCTATTTGGTTCTGAAACATTCCCATCAATCCAAAATAAAGCCTGTTACACTTTAAACATATTCTCACCATGACTTCCTCCTTTTACTCCAAATTTGTGTTTTGTCTATGAATTATGTATTCTGGATGTTTCATAGAAACGGAATTATATAATATGTGGCCTTTTGGGTTTGACTTCTTTTACAACATAATGATTTCAAGGCTCATCAACATTATAGTAACATGTATTAATATTTCATTACTTTTTGTGACTGAATACTATTCCAGTATATGGATATATTCCATTTTTTTTTTTGTATCTTTATCTATTAATGGACCTTTGGACTGTTCCTACCTTTTGGCTATTTTGAATAGTGCTATTATGAACATGTGTGTACTTGAACTTAAATATTCGAGTATCTGTTTTCAGTGCTTTGGGGTATATACCTAGAAGTGTGTTATTTAAGTGTGTTATCTAAGGTCATATAGTAATTCCACGTTCAGGTTTTTTTTTTTTTTAATAGTTGTAGATGGACAGTATGCTTTTATTTTATTTATTTATTTTTTTATGTGGTGCTAAGGATTGAACCCAGTGCCTCACACATGCTAGGCAAGCATTCTGCCACTGAGGTACAGCCCCAGCCCTCCATGTTCAGGTTTTTTTTTTTTTTTTCTTTCCCTATCAGTCAATTATTCATCCTTTCCACCAGCTCCTCCTGCCAAGTTATCATGGCCAAGTAAATGTGAGGCGAGGACAGCCCAGGTGAGGTTCCTTCCTCAAATATCTCTTCCATGAAGGAGGGTGCCTGGCCCCTCTACTCTAGGCTCAACTGAGGGGAGGTGGAGTAGGCAGGCTAGGCCGATATGTTCAGGTTTTTGAAGAAACACCAAACAGTGCTTTGCTTTATATCTTCCATAATACCTACTACAGGATTTCATGCAGGGGACATTATTTTGCTAAATATTATTTATCTTTGATAAGTGTTTATAACTCACCTCTCAGTGCATGTGCTTTGGGTCTCAAACGTTAATTTTAAGGGAAATAGATGCATCCAAGGCTTGAAAGTTAACAAATATCACCATACAGATGAGTTTCATGTTGTCAAGACATTAGGAATTTATTAACTGAGGATTCTGTTTTAGGGTGGTGTCAGAGGAAAAAGAAGTCAAGGTCCCCTCCCTTTACAGTTATGGATGCTCACTCAGTTACACAATGGGCTTTGAAAAAATCCAGGAACTTATAAAAAGCAAGAGAGCTAAAAATAATTGTTAGCAAGTAAAATTCAGGATGGCAAGAGTAAATTCTGTTATTAATCTGTACTTTTTTTCTATCACTGTTTTTGGTGTATCTTTAATCTCATGACTGGAATGTAAGAATGTTATGCCATTTGATTTTGAAATAACACACAGCTTTAGTAAAAACTTAGAGGAGGCCTCACATAATTCCCATTATTCAGGATATTTTGACTCTTCTTATGCTGATATGAATATTTCTGAATAGTGTTGATATTTGTATAATACCAGTGAAGCTAAAAGCTCAATGTTGGACTAAGCATTTCTCTAGATCTGTTTAGAATAGTTCGTAATGAATGATGTAAATAGTGTTAGAAGATTATATGATACAACCATATAATTTTCTGATACTTGTAGCTAAAAATAAAATTCTTCACAACCTTGGAAAATAGAATAACTTAATTTGATGTATCATAAATCCCCTGAATTAATTTGGAATGATTTGCTACCTTTTTGATATCCTTTCATTCCAATTTTCAAGTTTTATAGAAAAAAAATGAAAAGAGAATAATGATTTTAGGATTTTAGCTTGTGATTGAATATCCTATCTACATATGAAACAAGTCCCAATGCTCTGAGAAAGAGAAGTGGTGTGGATAATTCTGAGTCAGGAAAAAAAAATCATTTCTATTTGGCTTTTGAATGAATTATGTATTTTTTTTTTTCCTGTAGATTGTCTTTCTAGTTAGATACTGCTTAGGCTAAAATGAAATTGGTTTTCAATCTATTCTCTTAGCTTATGCCAATTTACAGTGGGACCAGTGGGATGTCGGAAACAAATCAGCCCAAGATTAAAAAATTTGCAGTGGATAATATACAAAGTGGATAATATACATGTGTTTAGTTGAGAATTGGCTACAGATAAGAGACTTCTGATTTTATTCCTCTCCTAGCTGTATATTTTCTTTCTTTCTTTCTTTTTTTTTTTAAACACTGTGATTCTGCTTGTAGCAAAGAGCTGCTGAGTTACATCTGCTTCTGCGTAATTAACTCTGTTGGTTGGTGTCAGATGAGAGCTAATTTTGAGATTAAATTGAGGAGTGGGGTATGTGCTTGTGGCTGGAGGAGGGGAGAAGAATCTAAGGTTGCTTGGTTGTTTTATATGAGAACAAAATATAGTTATTCACAGTTTTTTAAAAGATTTATTTATTTACTTTATTTTTGAAGTAAAAATCTTAAAATGTGACTTGTGTCTATATGTGTTTATTATTGTGGAAACTGGAACATCCTTCTTTTAGTGAAGCTGGTGGTGATATCTTGGTAGGCCAGGTGGCATTTAGGACAAACAGTGAATCCTGCCTAGGAAAGTTAATTCTGACCTTAAAACAACTTTTGCCTCCCTCCCCTGTGATAGTTACCTGATTATTTCAGTAATAGTGGAGTTTTTTACTAATGGGATTCTCTCTTAGGAATCTTATCATGAACCTGATTTTTAAAACTTGGAGAACATGTGCTTGCTTTGGCAGCACAGATATTGAAATTGGAATGATACAGTGAACATTAGCATGGCCTCTGAGCAAGGATGTCATGAAAGCTTGTGATACATTTATATTTTTAGGCTGATGATTTGTGAAAAAATGAAATAATAAAATTAGGAGAACAGGTTTGGTTTAGAAAAGAGTCAAATTTACTACTACTTCTTTTTTTTTTAGTTGTAGATTGTCACAATATTACTTATTTATTTATTTATTTGATGCTGAGGATCGAACCCAGTGCCCCACATGCAAGGCAAGCACACTACCACTGAGCCACAACCCCAGCCCCTCAAATTTTGTTTTTTTTAGGCACTATTTTTGGGCTTTAATTCCTGTCCTGAATTCCATGTTTATAAATACCCTTTGGTGGTCTGAAAGAGTTAATGATATTGCCAAAATTGCAGCTATTTGTTTAGTTGTGGAATTGTTTGTGGAGTTTTATTTTAGTGGTTCCTAACAATTATAAGATCTTTAGATAGTTCCTAAATTTAAGGTCTGTCCTTATGCCCAAATGAACATTACTTTTTTTCTTTTGACAGATTTGCCTGAAGACCTGGACAATCTTCATTTTTGTCATGGACTGTTAAAACGTTTGGAGTTCTGATTCTGGTATTTTTTTCTTATTTTATTACATTTATAAGATATAAAATGCCAGCCTTACTGGAATGCATTGGTAATGGATATGAATGACTTTGGTTTTGAATATAGATTGTGGTAAAAGCTTGTCATGAAGATATTTTTTGGTATTTATTAGTTACAAAATATTTTTTTTAAATGTGTGTTCATTTGCCTGTGTAACCAAAATGCCCCAAAGCAACTTTGCAATATTGTACACTTTCTTGTGACCTCTTCTCCTGCTTCCTGCAGTTGTATTTTGTGCAATCAAATTAAATTAGTTATGATTCATCCTGAATAAATGATGAAAGATGAAATAATTACTTGAACATAGTGAAATGTCTAATGAAATTTTGCCCCAAACCATTTTACTTTGGAAAGATCAGTTTCCTGTTCTAAACTTACTGACACAGAATGATTCCTGTGTTCTATCCTGAAAGTGGTTGCATTGCAAAAGCCAGTGATTTCATTTCTAAACACACTGAGTGCCAAGTCTAACATTTTTGCAATGATTTATATAATTACACAAAAGGGAGTGCTTATTAGATTTGCAGATGACACAGATGACAGAATCAAGATTCAAAACAATCTTTTGCAGATTGGAAGATAGACTCAAACTAACAAGATGAAATTGAACTGTAATAAACTTTAAATCTCAGCATTTAAGTTTATGCAAGGAAGAATGCAGAGATTCAGTTTGACAGCATTTTTGAAAAAAATATCTGGGCAGTTTAGTTGGTCTGCATGCTCTGCATGGCCAGTGTGGAGGGGCTGTTAAGGAAAATTCCTGTAATTTTGGGTTGCATTTATAATTGAATAAGGTCTAGACTGTCATATTTTAAGGTGAACATTAGCCAAAGTAGTGAACTTAGAGACAGTATGACATGTGGAGGGGTCAAGAAACTGGGATGTGATTGTTTTATTGAGGTGGGGCTGGAGGCACAGTAGGGTTTGGCTGTTAGTGGCTTTATTTATTTATTTATTTTTAAGTTGTAGTTGGACACAGCACCCTTATTATTTATTTATTTATTTTTATGTGGTCCTGAGGACTGAACCCAGGGCCTTGCATGTGCACGGCGAGTGCTCTACCACTGAGCCACAATCCCAGCCCTGTTAGTAGTTTTTAAAAGTTTCTTGTTTTCAAATATTAGAAGGTCTATCATATGAAAGAAATAGTAAAAATATCTTGGGATTATTTGGGGAACTAGGTCTAGTGTGTAGAAATCATGTGGAGGTGATTTTTGATCATGTGAACAAGAGATACATTATAGCTAAGAGCTTTCCAACAGTAGAGTGAGCTATCTCAGAAAGAGACAAATTTCCAATCAGTGAAAATATTTTAGGTAAAGGCTTGATGGCCCTTTTATTGAGGATATTGGAGAGGGATCTTTTACTGGATACCTGCAGGTTGTATTGGATGCCAGTCCCAAGTTTTGGAATCTTAGTGGAAAGCAGTGGAAAGAGAACCTACAGTTTACTGATCCACAAGGAAGACAGTCTTATTTAAACTGACTCTTTAAGGTGTTTGAAACAGTATAGTTCAATGGCCCCAAGTGTCTTTCAGCGACCCTTCAGGAATTTGGTTTTTTTTGGTGGTGGTATTGGGGATTGAGCCCAGGGGCACTCTATCACTGAGCTGCATCCCCAACCCTTTCTAGTTTTTAATTTGGGGCAGGGTCTTATCAAGTTGTTAAGTCTGACCTTGAACTTCTGATCCTCCTACCTTAGTCTCCTGAGTCACTGGGATTATAGGTGTGCACCACTGGGCCCAGATGTAACTGTTTATTTTATTATTAGTTACTGTTAATTTATTACTATATTAATTTACAAGTTAAACTTTATCATGGTTAAGTATGTATAGGAAAAAACAGAGAGAGAAGGAGAGTGAGAGTGTTTGGTATGTTTGTGGTTTCAGGTATCCACTCTGAGGATTTTGGAATATATCTTATATGGGTAAGGGGGGGGCAACTCTTCTAGTGAAGACTTAAGTGAAGCTTAAGTCACAGTGTCCCCATTATCCATTGGTAGAACTGGGATTCAGAGCCACATTTGTATTTCTGCAGAGACAGAACTAGCTAGAGCTGATAGTCAGGTGATTCAAGTGAGTGCTGGATGTGATTCTGAAATAATGGCATTTGAGTTACCATGGGTGAGTTCTATCTTCTTCTGAGCCTTTTTTCCTTTAGAATGTCCTAAGGATTAAATAACAAGTTACATGTCAGCACACTGTAAACGTTAAACTATAAAAAGTTAAGATGTGGGTGTTAGCATTGGAGATCAAGATTCAAGCCCAGATCTGGCTCAGTTCCTGTGCCAGGCTCTTTACTTTTGGTGCTCTTTGCAGGTGTATTCAATACTAGATTGGAGATCTGAGGCGCATAGTATATACCAGGAATCTCTCAGAGAGTAATATCACTGTCTAGTTGGAATCAGCTTTGTAGGTACCTGTCTTGTATTGAACTGCTTAATGAGATATAACTAGGTAGTAAGATAACTAGAATGCTACATTATTTAAAGGTGAAGGGTTATGTTACTATATTACTTTCAGTTTTCCAACCTGTGGGTTAGAGGGTATCACAAAACCTGTGCAAGAAGATCTGATTTCATGAAAGTGGTTAGGTGAAGGCTGGAGATGTACCTTAGTAGTCGGGTGCTTATCTAGCATATGTAGAGGCTGTGGGTTCAATCACTAGCACTGCCCCTTTACCAAAAAAAGATAGTTAGGGTCCGGGGTTGTGGCTCAGTGGTAGAGTGCTGCGGAGCATGTGTGAGGCACTGGGTTCGATCCTGGCACCATATTAAAAAACAAAAAACAAAAAAACAGCGAAATAAAGGTATTGTGTCCAACTACAACTAAAAATAAATAAATTAGTAAACAAACATAAAATATTTAAAAAATATTAAAAAATGATGGTTAGGTGGGAAATTTTTTTAATGTGTGAAACTTGGGAAATATATGTAGTCAAAATCAGGATTATTTTTTAAGTTTAATGTTTCTTCGAGTAAGTTTAATGAACTTTCATTAGATTTTTTTGTATCAGATTTTTTTTTGATGTTGGTTTTATGTTTGTGATAGACATATACCTTGGACCTCTTTCATTAGTAAATTAATTTCAATAAAGAAAATCCACTAATGTATGACTTAGATTTGATTTCTTAAATACTTCATAAATGACTTCATGTAAATAAGTGAAAAATGGTAAAACAAATTCTTTCTTAGACTGTGACCCAGTTTCTGGTTGAAAATATTAGTCACTGTGGCTGTGTTACACAATACCTGTCTATCATTACTTCTGCGGTCTTTTTGCATTTGAAAAGTAATACCAAAGAATCTTTTAATTTATTTTTAGAAATTCCATTGTTGAAAGTTTTTCTCTCCTTTTTATCCTTTAAGGTCTTGATTTCCTGGTTAAAGATGTTCTTCACTCAAATGCAGTTTTTCCTGTTGGTAAAGTAAGACAAGGATCAGCATTGCTTGTTAGTCCTCTTTTGTATTTCTTAAGAATGGATGTTTTTGAGATGTTGATTAACAAGGTGTGGAATGCCCTGCCAGCTTGTTGAATGACTTTCAAACTTGCAAGTTCTGTTAAATACAAGGAGAACCTCTATGGGTAACTTTTGTGTTGAAGAAGTCATTTGTCAACCATGGTAAAACTTGCAAACCCACTTTATACAGAGTGGATTCTTGAAGCTATACAGAAAATAAAAAAGCAAAAGCAAAGGCCCTCTGAAGAGAGAATCTGCCATGCAGTCAGCACATCCCATGGGTTGGATAAGAAGACAGTCTCTGAACAGCTGGAGCTCAGCGTTCAGGATGGCTCAGTTCTCAAAGTCACCAACAAAGGCCTTGCCTCATATAAGGACCCAGATAACCCTGGGCGCTTTTCATCAGTTAAACCGGGCACTTTTCCTAAGTCAACCAAGGGGTCTAGAGGATCATGTAATGATCTTCGTAATGTGGATTGGAATAAACTTTTAAGGAGAGCAATTGAAGGACTGGAGGAACCAAATGGCTCCTCCTTGAAGAACATAGAGAAGTATCTCAGAAGTCAGAGTGACCTCACGAGCACCACCAATAACCCAGCCTTTCAGCAGCGGCTGCGCCTGGGAGCCAAGCGTGCAGTGAACAATGGGAGGTTACTGAAAGATGGACCACAGTACAGGGTCAATTATGGGAGCTTAGATGGCAAAGGGGCACCCCAGTGTCCCAGTGCTTTTCCATCCTCACTCCCACCTGTCAGCCTTCTACCCCATGAGAAAGACCAGGTAAGTGAAAAAGGTACATTAATACAATCGAAATATTGTACTGCTCTTTTGGCTTGTACAGTTATCTTTTAAGTTTAATATGAACAAAAGTTCTGAGTTTGATAAAATCAGATGTTTTGCCTTAAGCAGACTTTTCTGTTTTAAAATGTACCTATTATTTCATAATATAAATGATTTATATTGTTTTACAATACATTGAGG